CCTGTACTACGTACTCATTGCGTCCTAGGATCATCAGATGTCTCAAGGAATAGCCAAGATCCTACAGGAAGGTAGGAATGCTCGAAGTAATCTCCACAAATTTTAATGATGTTGTTACATGATCATAAGGGACATGTTTCGGTCTTATAAAAGACCATCTTCAGCCTAATTGAAAGGTTTGGAGTTAAAAAAAATTGTTTCTGATGCTACTGTTCCTTGAATTGTTTTTAATGTCCATAGTCAAGAATTGAAATGGTCAATGAAAAAACGGGTTCTCAATAAATGAAGGGCCCCGTTCCCTGAGAGCGCATAATATTGTTTTCATTGAGAATTCCATATACCAGAATGGTTTATGAAGGGTATTGCCAAAACTTTTTTGTTTTTGACAACACCATAAATTATTGAAGAAAATATCAATGAAATTGATGGGACAAACAGCCAGCACGTGTTTTTTAATTTTTTTTCAACTCCAAATCTCACAATTATGCTGAAGATGGTCTTTCATAAGACCGAATCATGTCCCTTATGATTATGTAACATCATCATTGAAATTTGTGGAGATGACTTAGAGCATTCCTTCCTTCCTGTGGAATATTTCACTCCACTTTGAGCAATATGGCCTTCTACCAAAGATTAATAGCCAAGATGTTCATCAAGAAATTCGGCAAGTTGAAGGAACTTCAACAACAGCAAGTAGGACTCTAGAACTTGAATATATCAGCCCTGAAAAAAAAAAGTATCTGTTTCACCTGACAACTAAAGGAAGATCTTCTCAGGAACCTAATCACAAGGACCTCTTGGATAAATAAATCAGTTCGTAAATAAATGTGTCAGTGTTTGCTCCTGCACACGAATAACGTAACAAAATGATTTCTTATTTATTTCCTCTATCCATTATTTGACAATATAACGTCCTTTATGAATCGCCCTGTAATCCCCGAAATGATGGATCATCAAATATCGTGAGAATACTAACTCACCATTGTCCCCGCAATGAGAGATAATTCAGAGAGTGTTTATTTAGCGGTTTTCTCCATCTTACAAAGTTCTTGTTATATTTCTGGTATTGAGTTGGCAAGAATTCGGTCGAAATGTTGAAGAAAAGCATTTTTTTAAATTGTCGACGTTTCGAAACTTCATTGTTTCATCTTCATGACACTGAAGTAAAAACAAGAACATACATATCAAAATGATATTTTGAAATGAGGGGTTTTGATAAAAGCAGAATGAGTTATGTAAAATAACAATCGTTGAAAATAAAACACTTCTCACACTTTACAGAAAACAACATTGATAGGTACTTACCTATATTAAGGGTGGCTTTCCAGGTTTGAAAATAGTGAAATAAATAAAATCGAAATAAAGTATAAATACGTACACACAGGATCATGAAAGACCTTAACACAGACACGAACATGAAGGAATGAACAAACTGAACTATCGTTGAATCGTTTCTCTATATCGCAAAAAAGGGCTCGTGAAAGAAATAATGATCGGAATTGGAAAAAGTCGCCTGCTGATGATTCGGAATTATTGTTTGATTTTTTACATTAGATTGAAATATGAGGTGTGTAAATTCTCAATATCCGATCTTTTGTTAACACATTTTGTTTTATGTTTTGTTATTTCAATCATTTCGTTCAAGAGTCTTTTTTTCAATGTTGTCTGTTGTCTTATGATACTAACAAAATTGAAGTCAAAGGTATGGAGTGACGACTTGCAATGTTCTGCCAGGCTAGTGGGATTTCTCATTGTTTCCAGCGGATTGTGTATATTTTTACAATCTCTGCTGTGTTCAGTCAAAGTTTACAGTATTAATTCTGTAAACTTTGGTTCAGTCATCCTTTGTTGTAGATACCTCCCTGTTTGTCCTATATACACTTTCTCACACTCAGCCCATGGTATTTTGTAAATGATATTGGATATCAGATCTCTTGGTGTTTCTGTTTTGAGTCTTGTGAAGAAATGATTTTCAACTGTATTGTACCATGTAAATTTTCACTACTGTATATTCTGTCTGATTCTATACTATTCTGTACTGCTGAGCACATCTGACAGGATATTTTGTCACAATGTCATGGTCAACATATTTCAATAACATAAATTGCGAACCCAATCTGCTTTTTATTATTTAATTATCCCCAAACCTGATATGTGGATACACACCTGAGATTTCACACTGTACATTAAATGAGAATACTATTTCAATAAATACGTTGATATCTCTTGCCATATCTGCTTTGCTGTTATCCAAGTAGAAGGATGATTCGTATGGTTTTTTATTGGAACTCATCTGAAAGAGATGATTAAGTAATATGAAATACCATTTCAGAGACATTATCATACTCACATTGCACACTGCTATTTCCACTTGAAACTTCATCACAGTAAGACAATAGGTATTGGATTTTCCAGGAATGCTGAGGCGGATGGTCCACTAGCAATTGACCATTGTGAATCGATTAATTTCGTTTGGCATTATTTTTGTGATTGATATATTTGATAAATCCAGGTTGATGTTCTGATTTTGTTGTCAATTAGCTGTCGATCATGACACCATGTCAACAGTGTCAAACTTGTGATGCGCCAAACGCCGATTCGGATTGATTAATCGCCGAATGTTGCCGAACCAACTTAGCCGAGTTTTCGTGAAGAAAACGGATCAAATGTGTGACGTCATTTTAGTAATCATTTCTGATTGGTTCAGATAGACATCTGGAAAAAATAAAGTCTCTGGAGGGAGTACCGATAACATCTTTTATTTTGGATATCCAAATTATCTGCCAATTTGAAAAGCGGAAACTGTTAATTTGTTCTCTAAGTTTCTGGAAATTCGAAGGAGGGATCTCTCTTCCGGTCGTGAGACAAGAGCTCACTTCAGAAAATTCTTCGTGGTGGTCTAGTGCCATTTTTGTGTTGTGAATCGGCTTCTGAAGTCCTGTACCGCCTGGCGTTCTGGATCACATCAGGATATCCTGGATTTGTTTGCTCATCTATAAGGACTGCTGGACTCTACAGATATTTCTGGTTTTGGTTTAAGAGGCAGGATCTTCATGGTTCATCACCCAGGCAGCCACGTGCCTACCTGCATCGTCATTACGGCCATTTCAATCCCCAACCCTTCATAGAAGGTGAGTCTCGCATTATTTCCACGTTTTTTTCTCTCTGCAGTTCAGAAATTCAGAACCTCATTGTCATGAAATATTCAAGGGTTTTTACCAGAAGTTTTACCGGAAGTTTTACCGGGAGTTATCCTACCAGGAGCACTATTCTTCCCAGGAGTATAATTGCTCGACCAGGATCTGTTAATTCTACGAGGCCTTTGGTGGCAATATAGTAGCTGGAACCTGAAATCTGGATATCGTCCCCTACTTGCTTCCTGATGGATTTTCATGGTGGAAATACGACAACTCTGTCAATGTCATCTGACATCCATGGATGTGAAGTCAGCACCCCGCTCTTCGCCAACCTTCCTGTCATTCTCCAAAACCTTGCGTAGTTGGGGTGTCAGACCTGCTACATGCGGTAATTTGAAATATTCGACACCCCAACTACGCAAGGTTTTGGAGAATGAAAATCTCAAAGTCAGCATGAAATGTGAAAACACAGTTAAAAATCATTTCTTCACAAGACTCAAAACAAAAACACCAAAAGATCTGAAATCATATATGATTTACAAAATATCATCCATAGAACGGCTAGGCTCTGGAATTCATTGCCTGTGGAAGTATTCCCATACAACATATAATCTCCAAAAATTCAAAAAAAAATTCCAATACCTACCTCCTGTCCCTATCCTCCCTAGGAACGCACGATGTTCTTTGAACATTATAGGGATTCCCTTTCGTGCGCTCCAATCGATAACAAAAAAAAAAATAAATATCATGTGCTGAGTGTGAGAAATTGTATATAGGACAAACAGGAAGGTATCTACAACAAAGGATGACTGAACACAGCAGAGATTGTAAAAATATACACAATCAGCCGAAAACAATGAAAAATCCCACTAGCCTGGCAGAACATTGCAAGTCATCACTCCATACCTTTGACTTCAATTCTGTTAGTATTATAGGACAACAGACAATATTGAAAAAAAGACTCTCGAGCGAAATGATTGGAATAACAAAACATGGAACAAAATGTGTTAACAAAAGATCTGATATTGAGAATTTACACACCTCATATTTCAATTTAATAGAAAAAATCAAACAATAATTCCGAATCATCAGCAGGCGACTTTTTCCAATGCCGATTATTATTTCTTTTACGAGCCTTTTTTGGAAACGATTCAACGACAGTTCAGTTTGTTCATTTCTTAAGGTCTTCCATGATCCTGTGTGTACGTATTTATACTTTATGTCGATTTTATTCATTTCACTATTTTTAAGCCCGGAAAGCCACCCTAAATGTAAGTACCTATCAATGTTGTTGTCTGTAAAGTGTGAGAAGTGTTTTATTTTCAACGATTGTTATTTTACATAACTCATTCTGCTTTTATCAAAACCCCTCATTTTGAAATATCATTTTGATATATATGTTCTTGTTTTTACTTCAGTGTCCTGAAGATGAGACAATGAAGTTTCGAAACGTCGACGATTTGAAAATTGGTTTTCTTCAACATTTCGACCGAATTCCCGCCAACTCAACACCAGAAATCATATTCAACGGTCGCCATTCTATTCAACTATACAGTTCTTGTTATAGTTATCTTGATAAAATCACATCATTCACTAGTTTCATGGAAATTTATTTGTCTCTTGTAAAAATACTTGTCTCCACAATACACAACAATATTTTGAAGAAATACTAATATAAATGTTCCAAATTATTCTCATGATATCTAACAGAAAACAACTGCAAATGTTATTGCATGGCTATTTTGTTTATACTTAGATAAATACTACATTTTGTAAAGAAACATGCATTGGATAATAATTCATCATTAGTATCACTTGATATTGTAAGTAAGCTAGCAGTATCAATTATTGAAAACTACCAGAATGAAGATATCAACATGTCTGTCATGTTTATTCATCTTTGGCATAAATGCAAGTAGAGGTACGTAAATTGATATCATATTATATAGCTGAAAAGCTTTAAGGATCACTCAATTATTTTTCCAAATATCCGGAATGAAACTGTTGTATAGTTTTTCACGAAATGATACCCGTAGAGAATATGATATTGAATTGATAAAAAATATTTTATACTGTATAATGTGAATATTTAACAGAAACTAAATAGTTTTCTGGCCAAGAAAAATAGTTTTTTTCTACAATTGTCAAAAAATGACAAGGTTCGCGCATTGACAACAAATTGCGGAGTAACACTTTTTTTCAGTTTCCTACATTACCATGATACCTTGCACAAAACAATGCGCGAAGTACCTACCTATCTTATATAAAATATATGAGATATTTATATTTCAACTTTATGGTGCTCAATCGAGCAACCATCCACGGAATTATTTATTACTGATGGTGGATTTATGCAGCAGTTTTAAGTCTTAAGTTTTAAGTCGTAAGTTTTAGGTCACAAGTTTTAAGTCGTAAGGTGAAAATGGTGATTCATGCAGCAATAATAAGGACTGTCATATCATAAGAAAAGCACCCCTGATCATTAGCTCATTTTGCTTATTGTTTTCAGTTTTTTCCATGTTTGAGGTAACACAGAATTTTTTTTCTATTATTCAGCAGTTACGAATATTTGTTTTGGTTTTGATTCGATTGAAACAAATGTAAACAAACCAAAATTACAAATGGCAGCGCACGGCTCATGCGCAGAGCAAATTAGTCATAAGTTTTAAGTAGTAAGTCGTAAGAGATGAATGTTGGCCAACTTTTCTTATGACTTAAAACTTATGACAATTGTATGAACGTTTATATTGAAACGCAATGAATGAACTTCTTAAGACTTATGGCTTAATACTTACGACTTAAAACTTATTACTTAAAACTGCTGCATAAATCCACCATGAATGTTCAACAATAACAATGTTTTATCTCTTGGAGCGCACGAAAGGAAATTCCTATTATATTCGAAGAACACCGTGCGAGGATAGGGGGAGGCCTTTTAAGCCAGTTCAACACTATTTTTTATATCAATCTGAGCATATTTTTTCTTGCGAACAATTTTTTTTTGACGTTTGTAGAAAAAATGTTGTTTGCAACTCGAGCGCGAAATACTTTGGTCATCTCGACTATTTTTTTTTTAAATTAGATCTCGATCACCAGAGTAGCATTTCGCGCTCTAGATACAAAAATAACTATTTCGCAATATCTCAAGGAAAATTGAATATAATGCATTCAAATTTGGTATATGGTTTCATCTTTCCATGGTTCCTTTTTTTGGGTTGTGATAACTTTTCCTCCCAAATGTTCTACGCCACTGACGAAATTCCGATTATTTCCAATTTCTCGAATTGATTGTTCAATTATGTTGAAAAAATGCATTACTTTCAACTGAGCTGAAATGAACAGTTATCCAGATATTTGACCCAAAATAGAAGTTTGCATAGTAATTTTCCATCTTCCTCAGTAGTAGAAAATTACACTAAACTATTTGTTACACTTAAACAATTTGTTTTCTCTTTATGTGTGGGATAACTATTTCTGTTGACCTACAGAATGAGATCTGAATGGTATCTAATCTACTCAAGACCGGAAATATATTCTTGCAATTTTCCACTACTGAAAATGATGAAATATCACTATGCAATCTTCTATTTTGGGTCGAATATCTCGAAAACTATTCATTTCAGCTTAATCGGAGGTGATGTACATTTTTTGAAAAAATTTAACAATAAATTCGAGGAATTGGGAATAATCGAAATTTGATCAGTGGCGTAGAAAATATGGGAGGAAAGGTTACCACAACCCCCTGTAAGGCACCACTGGATAAAATGCCCGGAATGTCTTTCTGGTAAAAAAATTACCCATTCGAAGATGAAACCATATACCGAATTTGAATGCATTATATCCAATTATTCTTGAAATATTGCGAAACAACTATTTTTATTTCTTGACTTCAACGCCCTGTATCTCGAGAACTGAGTACTTGGAGACCTATCTCAGTGATAATGAAATCACGAGGGCTATCAACTATCTGTCAAGCGTTGTCGGTCGAATTTCGCAACACCCTGTATATTCATTATTGAATGTCGATTCTCAATTCCAGAGGATTTTTATCTTCAAATTCTTCATTTGGATGTTCAACAGATATAATTCAATGTTCACTTCACGAGCCACTGTACATACTAATAGTGTACAAATGTCCTTTGTACACTGCCATAAAAAAATTGATTTTCAAATTGGTGAATCCGACGTACTTACCTAGATACAATGTCGTATTACTTTACCCATAATTGATTGCCCTCGTATCTTTTCAATGATCTGATCAATTCTCCTGGAATTTCATAGTCTACTAATCGGAGTCAACTTTCTGAAACACAAAATGCAGCCAAATTCCAGGCTAATGTCTCTCAGGAAAAGGTTCCCATCCACATCTGAATTTTCAATATCTGCTCATCATTCCTGAAGATACAAGGAATACTGAACAAGAATCTGTGAATAACTCCTTTGGCACTTTTGAAGTACCGACAATAGTAATTTTCCTAACAAGTGCGGAAAGTGATTCTTTCCCGCACGCGACTGCCGTTGACACGAACGACGCAAATGATCCGTTCGTAACAATTGTTACGAACGGATCATTTGCTTGAATAGAGCAACGAAATATGTAATATCAATGAAATATTTTATTCATTCTACATCAACTTAAATCTCCGCCTCTCATCATTTCGCCTCGTCTATGCCTGCCTCGAATTCATTATATACGTGAAGCCTGATTCTTCGTGTTTGAAATATCAGCTGGATGAATCGAACTTAGGATGATTAGCAATCCGAAATAGTTTTCCATCAGCTGAGGAGAAGTAAAGACTGAAGATCTATGCTAGAAGTCGACTTGTTTCCTAGTTTTGTTTATTCTATTGATGTAAAATTTCAGAAAATTCCCGAATATTGAATTTGGTTCACCAAAACAATTTGTCGAATGGATATATAGTTCCTCTCGAATCAACAAAATATTTCATTGAATTAACCAAATATTTCATTGAATCAAACGAATATTTCATTGAATCAACCAAATATTTCTTCGAATCAACCAAATATTTCGTTGAATCAACCGAATATTTCGTTGAATCAACTGAATATTTGATTGAGGCAATATGTTGTTATTTTGAATCAACTGAATATTTGATTGAGGCAATATGTTGTTATTTTGAATCAAACAAAATGATTGTTCGATCCAATTCAATATCTCTTCATAAACAATTCATGAATGTGCTTGATTGAAGAGGATCCCGAGTTAATGCAAGATATATTTACTTGATTCAAACTCCAAAATCGCTCTGAAACAAGATATAGATTTACTCATTTCAATATTATATTTTGTCGTGCATATATGACACTCTTATTCGCTTCATTCAATTAAATTTTACTTGATTCAACAATCAATTTTTTTCCGTGTATGTCCTTTGAACACTTTCGTAGTATTATGAGAATCAAATAAAGGGGGCTTAGATACTCAGGTCACCAATGATGTGTTGCCTACTTTGCTAGTCGAAAATGTCTGCATTATTTCAAATATTCCATAAATGTTCATAATATCCACGTCTCAATATATTTCAGATTTCCTGATAGACACAAGTAGTTGCAAAATGCCGCTTTTCGACCATTTCAGTGAAGAGGCGAACAGAACCTACATGTATTTACCGCCAATCAAATGCAGCGAGTTCGATTCGCTCACTCACGTGACTGTCGAAAATAACACTGCCCATCTGCGTATTAGAAAAAAATATCTCAACCAGTATTATGAATCTGATGAGGAGATTGATTGCTGCTATAGCTACATCATGAGAGCTGGTACACCCGATGAACCAGATGTTGGCATCAGGTACGTTTCAAATGACAGAGGTGTGCAGAAACAGTTGTTTTTCTATTGGTACCCCATATTACTTATCTGAAGGACGCCTCGGCGTGTTTGAACCAACTTCAAACAACGCGCGCTCTTTAATGTTACCTACCTACCATGGCAACATCAACGACACGAGAAGTGTGGAGTTCAAATGACAACGTTTCAATTAACGATCTGAAAGGAGTACCATGTATCTTCAAATAAAATTTCATCAAAAAATGCTAAATGTTTCAAGTCGATTATATTTTTCTCATGACCACGAAAGGTATACTGATGTCACATCACGAATTCAACATTTTATATCATTAGTTCTTATTCCCATTGTTTGAAATGATAATAAAAGTCCCTAATAACACAGGATGTCCATTGGATATCCGTTTAATTGTGTCCATTATATGTCCAAGGTTCTGGAGACCGGAGCCTGCACTGGGCATAACAAGAAGCCAAACTTCGTCTGCCCTTAACAAATGGGCGGACGAGGCACTAGAAGTGGAGACGTATAGGCGCCTGCAGGCAATCGAGAGACCTGGTGGCCGGTCCAAGCAAGCCAAAGATGTTACGCAGACACCTATCACTCATAGGTGTGGAAGATAGTTTCACTTGCCGTGAATGCGGAGAAGATGAGGAGACATCACTTCACTTCCTCGGAGAGTGTGAGGCGTATGGAAGGATGAGATTCGAAATCTTTGGAGTAGATAAACTACAACAGGAAGATTTGGTCGAATCAGAGTGGACGGACATCCTGACCTTCATCAGAAGGACGGGAAGGTTCGAAAAGGACAACTAAAAGAGGGATGTGTAGATATGTGGAGAGCAGGGGTTGGCAAAAAGGGCCCATGGGGGTCTACTTGCCTGGCTACAGCCTCCCCACAGTACTACTACATATGTCCAAAGTGTCCATGGATACCACATTCTGGATATCTATATAGCATGTCCACAGGCAGCAATCCTATGGATGTCTAGGAAATGTGATCCATATAGTGCCCATTTCATGTCCTCTCTGATAATGTTCCTTACACAACGTCCAACTCATTTTCATAAGATAATGTCAAATGGACACCAATTCGCAATAGTCCATAAACAGTCCAGATGATGTACAGTGTGTTCAGCTTTCGCTACTTTTGCGTGATATCTCAGTTATCTTTGGAGATAGATAGATAGATGCAGTTTTCGCGGTCCTGTGCCACTTTTTTGTGAAACTCGAAATGGCCTTAGCAGATTTTGCATGACTGTTTTTGTTTATGAGATACGGGGTGATTTTGAAAATGTATACTATCTGAACCCCTCTATATCTACGAAGTTTCACAGCGAAAATGTCAAATCATAAACTTGTCCCATAGAAAATTTTACGCAGAATACAGTGTCGTACTAATTTTTTTTCGGGTATACCTGAATCCACACTATCACCTCAGGATATAATCATTCCGTATCAAGGCACAATCTTTGTATATACAGGGTGGCATTGAAATAAGTGCAAATATTTCAAGCCTTGAGTAAGCTCGACGTATACTATCGAGTGACACCAATAAGAAGAAAATAGGCTCAAAATGAAATTTGAGGTTAGACCCCTTCTTCCACCAAAAGTTCCACATTGTAGCAATTCTGACGTCATCTCTGTTCAAAGTTTAATACGGAAGGCACTATCACGCAAACTTCTATCATTTAAATCGTTTTGAAGTGGCATTCTTGATTTTTTGCTCGTTTCTTGTTCAATTTTCGGGTTGAAATTTCTTGTTTATCAAGGGAGTTAGGAAAAATTTGATATCATGGGAATATTCGTTAGACTGTATTATATATCCATGTGCTGATTATATGAACTTATTTAAAAAACACCTTATATATACAAATTGACATAATGTGTATGAAATAGTCATTTGTGAGATGAGATCATAAGGAATTCCATTCAGGATATAATGGAATCTACATTGTATAAAAATTGTTCAGTTGATTCACCAGATCAGTTGTAACCTAGTTTGATAATATAAATTTCCATGGACCCAAAATTATATTTACGATCAATTACATCACGAGTTAGCACTTCTCCTATCAGTTCTACAACCTTTAAAATCATATATGAAATTCAATAATTCGATCAAAACATTGGATATCTGCCAATTTCCCATTTAATGAAACATAAGTTTGGTAATCGTCGTATCAGAGCAAATTTCCTTTAGTTCCGGTAAAATAGGTTACTTCAAATCCTCTTCCTTTCAACGAGGCAAATGACCGAAAACTTCAACCATATGTCGATGTTCACCCTCACTACTTGCGACTGTCGGGGATAAAGATCATTGTTGTGTTGGATAGTCAGAAACATTTTACAAAGAAATAATAATGATTTTTTCGGCATCCGATTTCAATGAGGGCAAACATTAGTTATTGTTCACCAAACCGTGCCGGCAAAACATGAGGTCAGGGTTGGTAGAACTGATGAATATACTTTTCATATTGGTCGTTTTGAGAATAAAAAAACGTAAGACGGCTATCGTCTTCCGATAACTTGAAGTTGTCTATTTTTTCAAATATATAATTGTTTTTATAATTATTGATGGAACAGGCCATAACTTTCAGGGCTATCTGGAGAAATTTAGGGAATTTTGACTTTGATATTGACCTCATATGTTCTAGTAGCGCCAATATTATTCAACTTTGAGAATGATAGTTTTTTTTTTTCAGCTGGACCGAATGTCATTCCTTCAACTCAACAGTGACCCTCCAGGAAGACACTGTTATGGTGAAATGTTACTTGGGAGCTGACAAAATATACGAGAACGTTCACAAGTCCATCTTGATTTCACCCGACATTTATAGCAAACTCAAATATTCCCACAAGAAACAGCGCAGGACAAAGAGAAAACCACTCAGCGTCATTTTGATGGTAATAGACAGTGTCTCGAGACTGAATTTCCAACGAACAATGCCACAGACAAGAAATTATCTACTAGGAAATGATTTCGTGGAGTTCTTTGGATACAATAAAATAGACGACAACACCTTCCCTAATTTCAATGCGATCCTAACGGGTCTCAATTTGAATCAATCTAACGCGATTTGCAAACCGAACCTGGTAGGTTATCTAGATAAGTGTCCCATGATATGGTATGATTACAGGGATCAGGGATATGTAACAGCGTATGCAGAAGATTGGGCTCAAATTTCGACATATAACTACTTGAAAAAAGGATTCAAGGAGCCGCCTACCGATTATTATTTCAAGCCATATTTGGAAGCAGCTGAGGATCTATTGAGCGTTTTAACAGTGGATACAATGCCATTTTGCGCTGGGCATGAATCAGAAGGTATGAGAGACGAGATAGATACTAGGTTAGAATTTAAAAAATTTGTTCTGAAATTTGTTCTATCCGTCATTCGGTTGCCCCCTTACGAGCAACCCTCAAAAGTCTTCGAAAGTCTTGTGCGAGCAAGGAATGACGGGGGCATTACCTTTTAACGTGTGATCCCAAACACTTTCTTGGGCCATCAGAAAAATTTCTGCAGTCGACGGGGATCGAACCCACGACTGGCAAGCGAATGCGAATTAGAATATAGACACTCTGTCCGCACGGCTACCTGGCCAATAAGTGAGGTTCAGAGTGGGTGGTTTTATTCATTCCTCTACTACAACGATTAGTTCAGTCGATGAATGATCATCAGGTCCGAGGACAAGAGGGTAACTATGCCGGACACTGAAAACCTGATTCGGGCCGCGGCAGGGCAGATACAACGTACCTACTTATGATAACTCGAAAAATAACCATTTTGAGGTTATATCTGATTCATCATATTGTAAGCTTTCACCAATGAACAAACTCAATATAAACACCGTCCATTGTAATGAAGGGACCCTCTGTGAACGACGAGTGAGGCGAAAATATTGTTCAGGCAACCCGCAGTCAAATCAAATCAAATCAAAATATGCTTTATTGTCGGAAGATTGGTATCTTATTGACAAAGTCTTGTATAAAAAAAAAACGGATCGGATACCTATTTCTTTCTATCTTATGTTTAGTCGGGGGCTTGATTTGCGGAAAGCCAAATCCTAGGAGCATCCCATACAACACACGGACATCCTATGGATGTCCGATGGATATCCATTCAGAATATTCTGGATATCCGTTGGACATCCAAATCTTATCCGAAGGATATCGTATGGATGTCCAATGGACGTACTTTGGCCACCGTTTTGTATGTCCATAGGATATCCATAATGTATGTCCATAGGTTATCCATCATGTATGTCCATAAGATATCCATCATATATGTCCATAGGATATTTCATCATGTATGTCCATAGGATATTCTTCATGTATGTAAATAGGATATCCATCATGTATGTCCATAAGATATCAATCATGTATGTCCATAGGGTATCCATCATGTATGTCCATTTGATATCCTCGTTATTAAGAATATCTATGGCTTCAGTTACAAATACATATAGAAACTTATTTGCATATGCTGGTTTTCCATTTACATGAAAAATATCTATTATACTAATGGCTTTATTTGCCCCATAAACACTTGACAAAATAGGGTGCAACTGGCTACCAGAACTTTTTGATAAAGGTAAAGCATCAACATTAATCAGTAAATCTATTACATGATTACCAATTTGAGATGATAGTTAAGAGTTTTTGATGAAATTCTCAATAATCCTATTCATACCAAAATGGTAATATTTCCTGGTTTCACTTCTTTTATATCAACAACTCTTGGTGTATTTAATAATTTTCTCGCATCAAGAGGAAGTTCTGGGTGAGAGGGTTTCAATATATGTAGAAGGTTGGTAGTTATTGCTATTTGGGGTACATTATGCTGAAACGCTCACTGTCCCAACTGAAAAATCAGTGACTCATGTGCAATTTGATTACCAGTTATATTGTTTTCTATATAGAAGGAATATTTTTAATACTTTGGGTAATCTCAACATTATCATCAATGGATGAATTATTACTACTATAGCTGAACCTCGAACTGAACCCTCCAGATAAATTTTCATTAGTGCAGATAGATTTACCATTGATAGAAGCGGTCATAGTTACTACTTTGGTTACTGACATTTGTGAAGATGATGGACCATCCATAATGCTACAGCCCATACAACACACGGACATCCTATGGATGTCCGATGGATATCCATTCAGAATATTCTGGATATCCGTTGGACATCCAAATCTTATCCGAAGGATATCGTATGGATGTCCAATGGACGTACTTTGGCCACCGTTTTGTATGTCCATAGGATATCCATCATGTATGTCCATAGGTTATCCATCATGTATGTCCATAAGATATCCATCATATATGTCCATAGGATATTCATCATGTATGTCCATAGGATATTCATCATGTATGTAAATAGGATATCCATCATGTATGTCCATAGGATATCCATCATGTATGTCCATAGGATATCCATCATGTATGTCCATAGGATATCCATCATGTATGTCCATAGGGTATCCATCATGTATGTCCATTTGATATCCTCGTTATTAAGAATATCTATGGCTTCAGTTACAAATGCATTGAGAAACTTATTTGCATATGCTGGTTTTCCATTTACATGAAAAATATCTATTATACTAATGGCTTTATTTGCCCCATAAACACTTGACAAAATAGGGTGCAACTGGCTCCCAGAACTTTTTGATAAAGGTGAAGCATCAACATTAATCAGTAAATCTATTACATGATTACCAATTTGAGATGATAGTTAACAGTTTTTGATGAAATTCTCAATAATCCTATTCATACCAAAATGGTAATATTTCCTGGTTTCACTTCTTTCATATCAACAACTCTTGGTGTATTTAATAATTTTCTCGCATCAAAAGGAAGTTCTGGGTGAGAGGGTTTCAATATATGTATAGAAGGTTGGTAGTTATTGCTATTTGGGGTACATTATGCTGAAGCGCTCACTGTCCCAACTGAAAAGTCAGTTACTTATGTGCAGTTTGATCACCAGTTATTTTGTTTTCTATATAGAAGGAATATTTGTAATGCTTTAGGTAATATCAACATTATCATCAATAGATGAATTATTACTACACGGAAAAAAAAAATCACTAACCCTAAGTGGATATTTAATAGTGGCAAGTAAAAACTTGTATACTATATGGGACAAGGAAACAAGTTAATAACCACAAGAATATTTGTGTTCCTGAAAATGTACACCTACCACTATTGACCTGTTTAATTGAATTTCAGAGTGATAACGGTTAGTGAACACATCACTTGTCATTAGTGACCTATTCAATTGTCATTAGTAACTCATTCACTTTTCATTAGTGACTTGTTCACTAGTCATTAGTGACTTGTTCACTAGTCATTAGTGACTTGTTCATTAGTCATTAGTGACTTGTTCACTAGTCATTAGTGACTTGTTCACTAGTCATTAGTGGCCTAATACCATGTCATTAGTGACTTATCTACTAGTCATCAGTGACTTATTTACTTGCCAATAGTGACTTATTCACTTGTCATTAGCTAGTATGAGAAAATACCTCCATTGTTCTCTGAAAAATGATAAAACCTTGGTAATAAGACAAAAACACATGCATTCAAAACATTTTATTATAAAGGTATGATGAATCCAGAAAATACAAAAAAGGTAAGGCTGACGACAAATATTGAGATACTAGATACCGCGTATATCAGCATCATGCACCGAGAAAAACGGTGCTCTCACTCACTGCACTGCACTCAGGTTCACTATCTTTTTCCTTCCAGCATTGAAGATGAATCAACTTTCATACTTTTTGAACGTCACTTCCTTCCACTTCGAGTATCATAGGGAGTGGAAAAAAATCCTGTACATATGTAGAAACAATTATGTACTGTTCTAGAAGAGTTTTGTATTTCATTATCTCCTTCAAGAGAACAGATCAAGAACTCAACACCCCACAGCTCAGAGCACGACCACAGAGCACGGCACACAAACAGAGAATTATCATACGAATATGATATAGTATAGTTGTCGAAAGGGCACTTGCATGACTTGGAATTTCAATGTTACTAGCGGCACAGCGGAAACGCAAGTATACTAACTTCACGAATGCTAAGATCGAAATGACGCCGTGGACTCGTGGACACTGGACAGTGATCGCGTTGGGCGTGGGTACTCGAATAATATCGGAGATGTCCGAACGAAAAAGAGATCTATAACTACAGGTGAGCTGTCACCTGCAACAATCGACTTGATAGATTGTCTTTATTGATGAGTTCGCTCAGAGCAAGTGATCTTATGTCAGAAAAATAATTTAATAATAGTGAGTATTCGTTTACCTAGCACTAGTTTAGTGTTCACTTAGAATTAGCGAACTCTAAGTACATATCGACTTGGTTAATACCAACAAGTGTTCTGATCACTTACAGCAGAAACTTCGTTCCAGAAATATAGTTTTGCCTACTGCAAGTACTATATTTTCCTACCGTTGGTGAAAATGTTCTTGTCACAATCGACTTTTTTTCAAGAAAACAATTTACTTGGCCGAGTTTTCTCAGTGTACTATAGCTGAACCTCGAAGTGAACCCTCCAGATAAATTTTCATTAGTGCAGATAGATTTACCATTGATAGAAGCGGTCATAGTTACTGCTTTGGTTACTGACATTTGTGAAGATGATGGACCATCCATAATGCTACAGGTTGATGAATCTACTGATGAATCTCTCATTATTTTACCAGAATATAGTTCCTTCCTCGTTTTCTCAAAGACATTATTCAACATTTTTTCCTCCTGATATATGGTTTGTCCATCTCCAAAATTATCAGATTGCTTATTAATACTATAACAAAATCAATGAGAAGGGATTATACATATATACCGATACACTGCAAAACAGAATTCTGAAACACAAAAAGACCAAATCGGGTTTTATTGACATTTTTGACATGTTTTGATTGAAATGCAATGGTAATCACGGTGATATCATGTACAGTGTGTTTCAGAGTTGAGAAGACAAAAGCCTATAGAGGAGATGTCGCTGAGCAAAATATTGAAGAAAGTTCGTATGAACATAAGTCTAAAACTGCTTCGTTTCCGAGTTGGGGAAAATACAAATGCATAGGGTTTATCGAGAAATTACTCGCAGTTTGGGAATCCTTCGGATAGGAAGATATTGTTGTTTACTATCTTTTCTTATTTCAATTGTTCCATAGGTATTTGATTACTGTTGTAGTAAATTGAGATTTTTCCTCATAGAGTGTAGTGGTGTGAAATGAAGACGGAAATTGTGTGAAAAATAAAGAGAAAGTTAAGACAAACTACTCACCTACTTCTATTTGAAAAAAATTGAATATCTTGATTTATACATGTAGAATCGACTTGTGGAAAAAGTAGGGCCCTATCGATGTCTTGGGTTCGTCATCAAGTTTTTCATATCATGTTCAGGAAAACCATCAATGATTTGATTCATGTACAAGTGTGGAGAAAAACCGGAAAATTTAACTATTGAACTAATCTTGCAATTCAAACTCATTCATAATGGTTGCGGATATCTCATGGATATCCATGAGATATTTACTGAAGGATATCCATTTCAACTCCTTCGATGGATATCTCATGGATATCCATTTCAAGTCCAGGAAGGTATAAAAAAATATGAGTATTCCGCCAATGGTTTATTTCGTGTACAAGTGTGAAGTAAACTCAGGAATTTGAACTATCAAAATAATCTTGCAATTCAAGAACATCAATAATTTCTGTGGATATCTTATGGATTTCCATAAAATATCTGCTGAAGGATATCCATTTCAACTCCTTCAATGGATATCTTATGGATGTCCATTTCGAATCCAAGGATATTCCGACCAGAATTGGACATGAACTGGATGTCCATAGGATATTCAGTGTTATCTGGGATTTCATGTAACAATTGGATAAATGACGTTCACCCCCTAATTCGACCCCTCTGAATCCGAGAATACCGTTTATGAAGTCAAAATTTCAACCGGAAGTGAGGTATTCAAGATGGCGTCCAGAATACCACTAAAATCAAATTATGTTTCAAATGTCGATGTCGATATTTTCAGGGGTATAGAACAGATGAGACACTCAAAAAATGATTTGGAGCATTATACGTCTATCAAATGATCAAATTTTGACGAAATGGACCAAAATTACAAAAAACTTGTAAATGCTTGCATACGTTTTCGAGGCCAATTGATACGTTTATGAGCTCAAAAAAACATTTAATTATTGTCCAAGCCTTCATTTCTCACATTTTGAAAGAAAATAATTCTGTATCAGTATTACTATCCATTCGCACTACGCCCGAGACTTTGCCTTGCACTTCCTGGTGCACGGTACCCTCGGCGGCTCCCTGCAGCCACTTTGCTTCGTGCTGCAGAGCCCCTTGCAGCCACAAGCTCCAAATTCGGGACATGACTGGGGAATAGGTGGCAAAGTCATCAAGATTGGAACATACCGTCCATCAACAATTTTCCAACCGCCATTGATCGGGTCTGGGGAATCAGGATACTGATTATATGAGTAAATCCACACTAGTATCTAAAAACAAAACAGAATAGAATTAAAATCTTTCGATTCTTTTTATTTTCTCGTTTTTTTTTGTCAATTTCACTTGGGAGTGGCACCAAAGGATGTGTTGAAGAAGGGCATCAGTGGTAGGTGGCAAAAACTCTAGCATTCACACTGTCCCAAAAATTGCAACACGGGCTGCGTGTGCCGTTGTGATGTCCTGGTCCGACTCGGAATAAAAATGGTATTTGTATAAAAACTGCTAACAGTTTTTATTCGCCATGTGTCTTGAAAAAGGGAAGCAACAAACCTTGTATGAAGCTAGCACCACAAACTGTTCAACCAAACTGAGATCGTCGGGGGCTAGATCAGGAGTCTTTCCAAGCTGACTGAAGAGTTTACAGAAGTATCACATCCGGTGATTGCGTGAAAAGTCATCAGATCTTTGATCTGTTGTGGTGTGAGCTTCTCACATTGTTCGTGAATCGGAATATACTTTCTGTCTCGGGAGGTACCTCACATCACCCAGCGTTTCTTGCATTGCATTTTCTCAAAGTGATAGATGGAAAATAAAATCACATCAGTGTCTCTAACTTTCTTTCGGTTTTACCGCATGGAGCACCATCCTGGTATCAGCCTCTTCATGGTTTGAAAATACGAAGTAAGGTCTCTTTCTTTGTTTGACTCGGCTTGCGTCTCATTCACGAAACCACCAGCTACAATGAATTCCAGGCTGCCAAAGTCATATTTCATGGCATCTCCGCTCAGGTCGGTCTTGTTTTCTGACAGGGAGAGGAAGCTGTTCCAATTCTTAGGTAAGGGAACTCCCTCGTTCTTGATTACTCTTCGAACGGGAGAAAAACCCTTTCCTTAGTTTGCGTCAGTCACAAAAACAGAACCATGAAAGCTGTACATGGAAGAAAACCACTGTAAACTCCTCAGTCAGCTTGGAAAGACTCCTGATCTAGCCCCCGAGGATCTCCGTTTGATTGAACAGTTTGTGGTGCAAGCTTTATACAAGGTTTGTTGGGTTTCTTTTCTAAGAAACATGGTGAATAAAAACTGTTAGCTGTTTTGATACTAAAACCATTTTCATTTTAGGTTGGACCGGACATTACAAGGGCAGACGTAGCCCGTGTTGCAACTTTTGGGACAGTGCGAAAGCTAAAGTTTTTGTCACCTATCACTGATGCCCTCCGTCAACACATTCTTCTGTGCCACTTCCAGGTAAAATTAACAGGAAGAAAAAGAAAATAGAAAAATCGAGGGATTTTATTTCTATTGTGTTTCCTTTCTAGGTACTAGTGTTCAAATGCTTTTTTGAGCTCGTACACGTATTAAGCACCCTCAAAAACGTATGCAAGAATATACAACACGTTTTCATAAGTTTTTTGGAATTTTGGCCCATTTCGTGGAAATTTGATCGTTTGATGAACTTTTAATGCTCCAAATCAGTTTTTGAGTGTCTCATTGTGTTATACACCCCCGAAAACATAGAAATCGGCACCGCAGTCGTATAGCTGACCAAGAGTAGAAAATAATTTGATTTTAGGGGTATTTTTGACGCCATTTTGAATATCTCACTACCGGTTGGAATTTCGACTTGATAAACGGTATTTTCGGATTCAGCGGGGTCGAAATAGGGGGTTAATGTCATCTATCCAATTGTTACATGAAATGCTTCTAGGATTGTAACGGAGGGCTTTTTTATAATTTAGCCCCGACTAGTTGGCTCATGGGAAGCGCTTGCATAATTTGAAATATTTTCGTGGTTTCTGCTTTTATTTAAGGATAAACGTAATCAAATATGAATATTTATATAGGAAAAAGAATAATGTTGCGATCAATTATCACAAAAAAATTATTATTGATTTTTTTATTGACTTTTTCATTCTCATTCTTACAGGATTGGGAAGTCAAATGAATACAATATTGAAATCATGAACTCTCTTTCAAATGTCACAATTTATTGTACAGAGTGGGAGAAGCACAATGTCTCAGCACTATCAGAAGACACTACACTGTTATACCACTAACCAAACCAAATTTTTAAACGCCTCGACACGTGTTTCGCTAACTTTATGTTAACATCTTCAGAAGAAGATTGAAACTGAATATCCTATTCTAGTGTGCTGCTTATATACTAGGTAAATGTTCACCCAACCGTGAAAAATACTAACCGATAGTTAGTTATATTACTAAACTATATACTAATTCATTACTCTATTACTATTCCTCAATATCTCTAAGCTTTTATATGCGTCTAATTTTCTAATATTATCAACTTTCTGAACTAATTTGGGGTTAGTAATATGTGTGTTATGATTATTTCAAATGGGCTATGTGTTCTTATGGGTCGCCTGGTTTGGCCTATATATGTTATATCACAATCATCAAAACTCATTTCGTATATTCCCGACTGTCCAAGTGTGTCCACTTTATCTTTCGGATTGCCTAACCAATTGCCTGATTTTGACCCAGACTGATAAACGCTTTCAAAACATAAGTCTTTGATCAAGTCCCTTCGTATACTTGGGATTGAACGGGATTGGGATCCTTCTAGAGTTCTTTTTATCCACTTGTAAAGTCGTAGAATTTCGAAGTGTTAACTTAAATTTATGTCTACGTATTCATTATTTCTAATTAATCATTTCAAAACTATTATCTCCACTATCATCATTATAGAAGTGTGTTGAATACATTAACAAAATTATCAGAAGTTAGAATTGTTTGTTCTTCATTCCCCGGAGGCAGTGGAGGAACCAAATCCTTATGATAATTGGGCTGAATATCAGCTAATGATAAAATAAAGTCAACATTCACTCAGAGCAAAATGGCTTTATAGCTGATTCGAAGTTACATTATTATTCGACTCATCTTTCATATCATTACTATCATAATAATATATTATTCATATCTGGAAAACATACCAATATTTCATGAACATAATCAAGATTCATCGAGGTTTCACGTTGGGTGCCATGTGATTGATTTGGTACATGTGTATATAATGGACTTAGGATATGGGATTCATCTAGGAAATATTTCTCTTTGCCTAAGGTATACCTACTAATTTCTCTAACATTCATATCGAACGGTTAGAGATGCTCCATGCTCGATAATAGTCATCATTTCCGAATGAGGAAATCGAATTTTCATCAGTTAAGATATATTCTTGTCATACTTTCGAGGTTAATTCGATAGTTCATTTCAGGTGAAAGAGTTCTCAAACTGGCTCAAGACTTCACGAAGACCTTCAGATACCACCCCTACTTCGGGATATTTTGGATGAATACTTTCAGCCACAACCACATCAATACCCCTTCCCGCATGGACCATACGATGAAGAACTTTTTCGAAAATATCAAACGCAACGGTAAGTACGTATGTTATGGTTTGCTTATTTTATAAGAGACGTGAAAATGTTGTATTTTATTCATGCAGGGCCTACTCTAGGTGAGAGTAGGCCCTGATTCAGGTCTCAGACAATATCGTAGAATTTGTACTCGTGATTATAATACACTTCAGTTTGTGATATCTTGGAGAAATGGCGCTTCAAATCACTCTCTGGCATATACCCTTGATCATGGTGTTCCATAATTAATCGTGCATAGAAGTAATGCAGACTTTTGAATTCAAAATATAATGATTTTGGCCGACTTGCCTTTATAGAATATTCCTAATGAAAGGGATATAGAGGGTATCGAAGGTAAAGTTCAATAATTCAGCTTTCGCAATTACTCCGAAGTTTTTGAACATGAATACATGATTGTTTCGAAACAAGGGGTTCCAAGGCATGGGGAAGCATGCTTTACTATCTACTTCAATGTACTTTCTAGAGGGCTGCTCCAGATAAGCCAGTTTTGTAGGACGAATGTGCACTTATATTTTAGTTCTTCAAGTAAGCACTACTTTCATTCATTCATTCATTCATTCATTCATTCATGAAAATACGTTATAAGTAATTGTTGTGATTCGGGAAACTCAACAAATTTTGCGATAATCGCTTTTCGGATTTTAGCTGCACAATTTTCATTCAATTTATTAAACCAATATCAACCTAGTAGGCGTCTTAATTATAACTTTATGCTCAATTTTTATATCAACGGAGTTGGAGATAAAATGAGGCAAAGTGAAACGGAAAGAAGAAGTATAGGTAGAAACCTATCATTCTCATCAACTTTAACCTCACTTCTCAGGGGACATCGCCCTAGCTTCTCAGGTTAGGCACTAGCCGTTCGATATCTGAAGTGAAGCAATGTCGAGCGCGGTTAGTACTTGGATGGCGGTTAGTACTTGGATGGGTGACCATTCGAGGAAACGCCGCGTAAGCCCGTACATCTGTAGCGGTATAGCATATTATAGCTACAGCTACGATATCAATGAGCACAAGATATGGTACGGATATGCCGTCCTTCGGAGGGGACGTTAAGCCGGCGGTCCCGAGGCCATGGATGTTGGACTCGTTTAAGATGCCTAACTCTGGTTGGAACACCAGAGGATTCGGCAAAATTTCCGGTTGGTGGTAGTGTGCTCACCGGCGTCGGTGATTAGCCTCAGCAGAACAAGGCCGACGTTGACGAAACAAGAAAAAAAAATAAGTACCGTGATTTGGTGGATAATGGGCGAGTGGACTGATAATGTCTTGGAGAGCTCACGATCCCATTTTTTTCAAAATTTTCTGAATTTTTTTTGTATGTCTGATAGCCCAGATATCTGCTAGCTCAATAGCTCTGGGACACCCGGTATATTGGGTGTTCAAAAAGACGCTGGTACATGTTAGAATGAGCCTGTTTCAGTAGAAAATTCTATGTCATAATTCTAAGTATCTACTAACCCGAAGTCGCAAACCGTTTTCTCCTCAGAGCTTTGTACAGGACAAAGCGTGACAACATATCAGTCCAATGCAACTTCTATACGATATGACTAATGTATTGTGTGTATCTCAGTTAGCACTCTAACTGCGGAAGATAATAATTCTTATTCTCATGTAGAAAGGATATATTATATTTTCATTTATTTGTTGAGAAATATATTAGTATGCTTATCATGTATATAACGTCATCTAGACTTTGAACTCTACAGCTACCGTTTTTGAGGGGTGATTTTTTTATTATTAGAAAGAATGATTGTGTGATTTCATAGTTATTTATCTAACAAGTGCGAAAAGTAGTACTTTTTCGCATGCGACTTCAGTTGCACGAACGACGCGAAGCGGAGTTCGAGCACGCAGTCAAGGGTGGAGAAGATATTCTCCGCCAGAGTTAGGTACATTGTTCTTCCTACGAGTATTTTTGTACATATTATTCATGAGAAAGAAGTTTTTAATAAACAATATTTTATAATAATGCTACAAAATGACACATAACACAGAATAGTTTCATAGATCATTAAGTTTGTACTATAAATATCCCCAATTTCAACAATTATAAAATCGTGCAGAAAAGTTACTTCTCAGCACTAGTGCGGTAAAGTAAAAATCGTGCAGAAAAGCTAAACCGTATGGTAAAGCACAACTTTCAGAAGAAAAAAAATCGTGCAAAAAAGTTATTTTTCCGCACGCTCGTAAGAAATGTAATGAATAACTGTATCAACTACTATTGATACATGAAATAGTTGTTGTAAAATAGGTAGGTATGTCGCGAAAATTCAACTAACGACTAGTGTGTAGATACAACCTGATTAATTGGGATACGTTAAAAAACAATTTGGAACACGTGATACAGGGAGATCGTTGTAGTATTTTACTAGTCTAACTACTTAATGAAGTTCTAATTCCTCTCAGAGGAATATACTTACAATATCTTTGCCCTCATTACGAAAAATATCGAATGGTAGGTATCACAGATATAGCATAAGTACACTCAAACAAATAGTCGGTAATGAGTAACAAGCGTTTAGTGAAGTAGGCACCAGTCACTTCATTCATCAAATAATACCGCAACAAATTCGTATCATGTAAAAAGTGGAGTGGACTAGTTTATAGTGGTAAATATATTGTCACGATAGGAATCAAAAATATTTCATCATAGCTAATATATTCGAAATTATATTGATTCAAGAAAAGATTTGATTAATGAAGTTGATAATTCATTTTATATCACACAATATTTGATTGAAGAAAATGTGAATAATGTTTCACTCACGTAGGCAACTCAGTCAACCGGATTGAAATACTTGCGTATGGAGTAAAACGCTGACTATAGTAGAATATTCTGAAAATGAATATCGAACAGCCGATGAGGCATGGAGGCACTTTTGATCTGATCAGTTAGCATCTTCTGCGTCTCCTAGAGATAATTTCATAAATACTAACGTATCTATCGTCATCATGTCGAACTATGGAATGATTCTTTGTATTGCGAAGGCTGGTGTACGTTTGCCTTGAATTTCATTCATTTAAACCACTATTAAAACTATTTTTTTCTACTCACATAACTAAAATGGCATTTAACGTACGGATATGTACCACGCTAAATGATCGATTAATCACGAATTGACGATCTGTGATTTATTCGAAATATTATACACGTTACCATGGCAACACGATTTCTTAAACACATCACCATGGCAACACAGTTCATTGAACACAGCTTCAGTAATATGGGACATGTCTGGCCTGTCTATTGTAGGAACTGTCAACTGTCCTTTTCGAATTTTGTATCAGAATTATTCGAACAATTTTCTTTGGTATCACAATTCTTCAATAAAAATATGCGAAATGTAGATGGAAGTGTAATCGAAGAGAATGTTTTGGTGCTTGCATATCTCCAAGAAGTCTAAAAATGAGGCATCCATCTTTGAAAAAAATTTAGTCATTCTGCGTTAAGCATGACAATGAACGTGAAACAAAGGTTAGTAAGCAACTAATATCACTCATACGTGTCTCGCTGGTTGCATGCAGTTGCATGTATTTTGTTCTCAATTCCCATTCCTCTCGAATTATTTTGTAAGTTAGCAGAAATAGCAGGTATGCATAATGTAATTTTCGGAGTTCGTAGAAAGAGCATAGTATTTAACGCGTTCATAAACTCTTCTAGACACTCGTTCATTTAACACTCGCTCCGCTCTGCTCCGCTCGTGCCTAAAATACTCGTTACTAAAAGGACGTTCATAACACTTGTTACATGATGTACTATTTTTAACTGTAGCTGTATAACGAATAACTATTTTAGTTTTATGGTCGGTGCTTTAGCCATTGGTCGTGACAATATGATGAAGTATAGTATTTCGAAATTTTGTAGTGGTTTCATTAGATAAATGTAGTGACTGGCGCCTATGTTACTCAACGTTTCGTATTTACTACCGACCATTTTTTGTATGATATTTATAGAGGTAGTACTGAAAAAATCAATGACTTACGGAAACCTTTGTCACAGGTATACTGAACGAAAGCATGGTGATCGTTCTCAGTGACCACGGCATTCGCTTCGGTGAAGTGAGACACACCGTTCAGGGATGGTACGAAGAAAGACTGCCGGCCAACTTCATATCGCTGCCTAACTGGTTCCAAAAAGCGCATCCAGAGAAGTACGAGAACCTCAAAAGAAACGCCCACAAACTCACCAGCACCTACGACTTGTACATGACTCTGCAAGAAGTCTTGGCTTTGTCCATGAACAGTCATGTCGCAGTTGGTAGCAAAGCCTGTCCTAGCTGTCAATCCTTATTTTCCAATATTCCTTACTCGAGGGGTTGCCGTCAAGCGGGTATACCAGAAGTTTGGTGTACTTGCCTTGGAAAATTCAATGAGAATGATTCCGAGATCACCGTGGAGGTGAATAATAGGGCTTTCAGATTTCTGCGCGAATCTGGTCGCCTTAAACCAGGAGTTTTGATCAATAAATTATTGTCCTCGAGTGTCAGTAGAAGTCCTGATGGAAAATCGTACTTTTTGATCAATTTTGAAACGGTTCAGTCAAATTATTTAGCAGGTTATCAAGGGTTGTTTGAGATTAGTCTCAATCCAGTCGTGGAATTCCTGAGTCTCTTAAGTTTCACTCGTCTTTACTGAAATGTTAATAGCTGAATTTTGATTGCCTTCACTATCCCCAGGAACATATTGTTGTTCCTGGTATAGGAATATTCAACATAATATAAATACAAGGAATAAAAAATGATGGGAAAAATATAATTGTACAATTTTTTTTCAACAAGAGAATAAAAACTAACAACATGCTGTCCCATGTTCGATGTCCTCACGGGATTTTGATATTTGTTATGGAAACCATCCATCCTTCTCAAAGTGGTCCAGATTTTTCCAAATAAAAAAAAAACGAAACACAAAGTCGGTCGACCACAAAGTTTAATTACAAAAGTTTTACTTTTTGTGACTAGTTTTGGCTCAAGCAGCCATCTTCAGACACGATATACAGTACCTGTAAAGATATTGGTTCACAAGAATAATATAACATATTGAGGAAAAAACATACCTATAAAAGGACACGTGGAATCACATAATCAATTAAATTGAAATTTGAGTAGCAGGGTCATTTGGCCAAAAATTCAATCCGGTAAAAATATTAATACTTTTTGAACCGACTGAACAGCCAAAAGAACCCAACAATCATTAGATTCAACATTGGCAAAAAATAAGGAAAAACCAGCAATAATTCACTCAAAGGAGTTTCATCAAATGGCCATTTTTGTGAAAGACAAGAGCCAGGGAGAAGGCAACGAAGTGTCAAGAATAGCAACAGACGTTGACAGAATAACAAAACAAATGACAGTGACATTTGATACAAACCCAAATGACATGCACAAGATAAGATTACATTTCGAGTTATGATAATGTTGCAGTAATTTATGAAAACTGAATTAATTACAATTGAATTGTAATGATTGTAACTCTTCTTATATATAGGTCAAACTGGTAGAAGTTTTGAAACTCGCGCCTCTGAACATAACAGACTCATCCACAAATTTCTCAACACTACATCTTCCTTTGCAAATCATATTATTGATTCCAGTCATTCTTTCGATGTTAACTCCAATATGGATATTATCCACATTTGTAATAAAGGTCCACGGCTAAACCTCCTAGAAATTTAAGAAATTCAAAAATGTATCAACAATCCAAATTTCAACTGTCTCAATGACCAAACTGATTCTGAACGAAACCACATTTTTCGCACACTCAAATTCTCATGACCATTTTTGTCTTACTTGCTTTTACCTAAGCCGACCCTGTTCTATTTTGTTCACCTTCCTGAGTTCTTCTTCTTCTGGGTTAGATTACAATTACTACACCTTGACACTTCTTCTTTTTTCTTGGATTACATATCATTCGGCCTTACCACTTATTTCTCCTTTAGGTTTTTAGACATAATGAACTTTGTAATTAATTCAGTTTCCAGAAATTACTGCAACATTATCATAACTCGAAATGTAACCTTATATTGTTGGTTTTTCCCTATTTTTTGCCAATGTTATTGAATCTAATGATTGTTGGGTTCTTTTGGCTGTTCAGTCGGTTCAAAAACTATTAATATTTTCACCGGATTGAATTTTTGGCCAAATGACCCTGCTACTCAAATTTCAATTTAATTAATTATGTGAATCCACGCGTTTTTTATATAGGTTTGTTTTTTCCTCAATATGTTATATTGATCTTGTGAACCAATATCTTTACAGGTACTGTATATTGTGTCTGAAGATGGCTGCTTGAGCCGAAACTAGTCACAAAAAGTAGAACTTTTGTAATTAACTCTGCGGTCGACCGACTTTGTGTTTTGTTCTTTTTCTTTGTATATAATATATTTTCACAATATGTATTGCATTCTTATAGTTATATATTATTATATTAGTCTTGAATGGAGATGTTCGAAATGTATGTACATGAATCTTTTAGTGAAAAAGATTGAGGTGAACTGTTTATATGACATGATTTGAAGTATATCCCACCTATTTTCAGATAAGAGACTTGCGACTTTTGCCTACTTTTTTGTGAAACTTACAATACCGCAAACAAAATTTTCATAGCACGCTTCTTTTCTGAGAAACAGGGCGAAAATCAAAATTCTGTATTTTGGGACCTCCCCTGTATATCAGCTATCTTTCTACGTATAAGAGAAAAACGACTGTATTCCATACAATTCTAAATGTAGCGCTATTCAGAAATATTCAACACTTATACGATATTTGGAGTATCAGCCTTGTATTTAGATAATCAAAAATTCATCAAAAATATGGTGGCAACATTTATCATATCACAGTTTTTTTTATCGCTTGGAGCGCACGAAAGGGAATCCCTTTAATGTTCAAAGAACATCGTGCGTTCCTAGGGAGGATAGGGATAGGAGGTAGGTATTGGATTTATTTTTGAACTTCTGGAGATTATAATTATGTTGTTCAACAAAATCTGAGTGTCATATATCCACGACAAAACATTTTGTCACCGCAACAATTTTTTTTTTGTCAGTTTTCAATTCAAAATTGATTTGATGTAACTCCATTAATGATTCAAATTAACAGCAGGAATTGGTTAAATAAACAAAGACTATTTTGTTCCTATAATTCAATATCTGCTCTTATGAACGATTTAGTTGATTGAAAAGATTACATCATTTCATTCAAGTGACAAAATTTTCAGTTTTCCTGAGAGTGAATATGTTAAAATAACAATATATATTCTTCGGTCAAGCAAATTATATTTTGAATTGACAAAATATTCTGCTGAATAATATTAAAAAAATCCAATAACTGAATTTCAAAACTAAGAGATATTAGAGATCAATTTCCTCAGTTGATTCAAGACTATTAGCTTGTATAAGCGTCATAAGGAATCCTAGGACGGCCTAATATAATTATATAAATGGATGTTTCAGGTAGCCCTAACAACACAGGGATGTCCTAGGTACGTCCCTTTTTTGTCCCGCGGTACAAGGACATGATTGGGACATCCAGGGGATGTCCTGCAGTGGTTGTCCAGTGGACATCACGCCCGGTACATCCCTAGGTTATCCTATTCGTGTCCCTGGAGTTTCTGATATCCATTCACATCAGAGTCATTGAATTTCATCAAACTAGTGAGCTGAATTTTTTTGAAAATGTTTGTTTCTCTTCCGGAAAATGATTGTAATGAAAATAAAGAATAAAGTCTCAGAACTTCTTAAGAAATTACCATTTTTCGCAGACAAAAAATGTTATGCCCCTCATTTTTAAACACCCAAGAATGATAATAATTATACCCAATTCCTAATAATGTTGTATTTATTCAGGTTTCTGTAGTTAGGTCCTGTTTATAAATCTGTTTAGTACATAAATCTTCAGGAGGCATGATAGCCAATGGAGCAAGGTGCGTGCATGATAAGCCAAAGGTCCCGGGTTCAATCCCTACTCGACCTGCAACTTTCTTCTTTTGTCGAAAGGATGTCCCTGGGAAATCCTTGGGACGTCCTAGGGATATCCTTTCATCGTACTTGGTACATCCCAGGGACGTACCAGAAGGACATCCCTTGGATGCCTTTTTTAGCGGCCAGCGGATGTCCCTGGGACATCCCTAGTATGTACGTTGTCCCGACAAAGGACATCCCTGGGATTTGCTAGCATGAAATCAGGGACGTCCATGGGAAGTCCCTAGGATGTACTGGTGTTGTTAGGGAGGTATATGTACACCCTAATCGAGGCAAGCGTAGGAAGGTTGTAAGAAACGCCACCTGGTGGCAAAAATGCAACTAGATGATTATTCAACAAAATATTTGTTTGATATAATGTATTTATGGGTTCTGTTCAACACTGTAATTTGTTTGAAATAACAACCTATTTCTTGATAGTGATGTGTTGAATCAACAAAATATAATGTTGTCATAATCAATTCAATTTTGTCGAATAAAAAAAAACCTTTGATTGGTTGCACAATGAAAGGATTGTTGGCTCACTCAACAAAATATGATGTTGTATTCAGTTAAATCTTTGTCACAATTGATTCAATTGTTTAGAATAGACAAAATGCATATGATTGATTGAACAATGAGATAATAATTGGATCAACAAAATTTGTTTTATATCAACTATAAATGTTGTTGAATGAAATGAAACGTTTGTTCAAGTAAGCAAATATTTCAATCAAATTATTTTGTCTCTTTGACTAGGTTGCTTATTTGGAATGAACATATATTTTGTTGATTTCGCAAAGTTGTGTTTAATTTAACAAAAAGAAAATGACCAAGATTATTTTGTTGGTACAACAAAACTTTTTTTCCGTGTAGATTCATATTCGAAAGACAAATATAGTCGCATTCACATTCCGTCAACCTACAATTCAAAAAAATCTGCCTGCGGCGCATTTTCTGTGAAATTTTGGTGTCACCTTTCCCAGATACCGAAACTCACAATATGCCACTGCGGAACATACATAATATACATCTTCACTCTATACCTATCGTTTTTTGTCCAATAGCTATATGATCATTGATCAATGACTTTCAAGTCTAGGAATAGAGAAATTTCTCAATGAACTATTGGCCTCGACCACCTCTGTTCCGAAATATACTCACACATACTTGCATTAAAATATTGCCTGTAATTCCGATCAAATCGTTAAAAATGTCTATAAACATTTCCTCTTCTTCCCCTTGTATATCTTGAATACGAATACCGTTAGGAAATTTCTGCAGTATTCTACCTATAGCAGCGGGGCTCCCTTTTTTTGGAACACTTTGTATACTGCTGTAATATCAAAAACACTGGTCCAGTTCAATTTATTACTGATTCCTGAATTAAACGCATCGTCATCATTCTATACTGATTGATCAGGAAATGAAATCATATAACAACCAATCAAATGAATATAATAGAAGTAAATACATCAAATTCACCTATTATATGATTAATCGACAAAAACACCTTGAAGATTAAGTTTTTTCATGGTCGACGCGCATGCTACAGGGGGCCACATCTTCAATTAAAAAATAATCACACTTATTCATGTATCCACATCGCAATTGAACCTATAGTGCTTCAACACACAATTAATAAATATTGAGTACGTATACAGTGTGGCCAAGATAAGGT